GAATTAATAATAATAATTTGATCAATTACTTTACCATCAATTATGTAAGAAACAATAATTTATAAGTTCAACTAATTTATTATTTATCTACTTTGATTAATTATATTTTTTTAATTCCAAATTTTTTTAGTAATTATAGATTATATAAATGAACTTAAATAGTCCATTTAGATCTAATTAGAAATCATATAAATAGCCTTAAAGATTATAGTAATCTCATTAAATCTTTTTTTTGTTTTATTTTGGTAACTATTTCTTCGAAGGCTTAAAATTAATTAAATTTTTATTAAAAATATTTAAATCAATTTAAAAATTATACAATTGAGAGCTCTCCTATTCCACCTCTTGCACTTATTGTATGGCATCTGTTTCATTGAGTAGTGAGATTTGGGTTCATAGCCATTATAAAAAAAAAATGCTTTGTGATAATTGATCACTAAAATTTTTGATATTAGAATTAAAATTTTGGTATTATTTAGTGATTAATTAATAATAATATTTTTATTATAAAAAAATTACAGTTTTTTAGCTATCACTATTGCACTATTGATTGATTCATATTATTATAATATATGAGAACAGGAGATATTTATTTTTATATATAATTTATTTATTTTTTATAATTTTTTATCACATAAAATGAACTAATATACTTATAGGTTATTTAAGGTACTATTTTATAACAAAGCATACATCAAAAACAACAAAAAATCTAGTAAAGACCAATAATAATAGTAGTAGAAATATTACATCCATAAAATGGTCAAAACTAAAAAATTTCCAATTGCCAAAAAATCTCAATTCACTTCTATTATTAAATTCCAATATAAAGACAACGTATTAATATTACATGGATAAAGATTGTAATTAGACTTACATCAAATATAACTTTTAATTTAACAAGAAGGTGAATTATGATATCAACATTAATGCTCTAAATCTCTCCATTCGTATTAAGATCTTTTAATACAACAAGTTAGTGCAATGTAATTGAATTTCATCAATTTTATTATTAAATCTAAATTTATATAAATTTGATATTAAGAATAAATTTTTAAATCAATTTTAGCAATTACATCAAATTACCATATTTGAAACAAGTATAGATACAACAATATTACAAACCTATAAATTTTAAGCCAAAGTGTCTTATATATTACATATAATATTTTCTTTGTAAACTAATAAATAAAATAAGATAATGAAATTATAATATTCAAGTTATTATATAAAAATGATTCTTTAGCTTTGCAATGGTATTAAATTATATTATAAGTGATAATAAGTTGGTAAATTATAATTATACTTACAATCATGGATAATATATATTTTTTTAAACCATTATAAGATGTACTACAAGTCAATTGTTGCAATACAAAACTTCATTGTTTAACAAAGAATCAACATACAAAACACTCTATAATTTGTTTTCTAAGCTTTCTTTCTAATCTAATTCCTTCTATTGTATTATAAGCAAATAAATATTTAATAAGAAACTTTTATGGTCTTATAAAACTTACCATCTATTCTATATATGCATAAAATAGATAATTTGTTTTAAATTTATAAATTAATAATTATGAAAATATACATGAAATTTATTATATATACAATATTTATTTAGAATTTTTCTATGTCACTAAAGAATAAATTTAAGAATACATATACTATTTAATTAATTAATTTTTAATTAATTTTTTAAAAATTATCATTTTAATCAATTTTATTATTATTTTTAAAAACTTACACTTTAAAGTATAATAATTTTATTTTATTTTTTAAAAATTATTATTATTTTATTTTTATATTTTTTTATAATTTAAATACTTAAAATAATTTTATAAAAAATCATAAAATTTTGAATTATTATTGAAAATATATATCTATATGTAAATTCTATTCAACATTAATACAAAAATAACACATGATCTACTAATTATTAAAAAAATTAGAAACTAAATCAAGTAATAAGCAATATATAATTATAACTACCTATTAACATATTAAAACAAATGTTATCTTTGATATTTGATATGATAAATAAAAATATTCATATATTTATATAAAAAAATATAAATAATCATAGAATATTATGAAAGTACATTATATTTTATCTAAATATATATATATATATATATATATATATGAATCAAACTACAAGTATATCCTAAGTTGCTATAAACACACTCCAAATTGCTATACATACACATAAAACATATGAAGGCCTTTGATTGGCTAGTTGATGTTGTGTGAAGATTGACATTTACAATAATTATGGAGTAAGGGGACAAACAATCTCCTCCAATGGTCTTATTCATTGATTAGAAAATAGGATTTTTGGAGGCAAAGCTATCCAAAATCAAATTGAACTTTATTCTTAGTTCCACCACAAATTCCTTGTCTCTCAATAAATTTTGGAGTTTTTCTCTAACTTCCTAATTGTGCACTTCCAATATGTCTTATTTTTGCAAGCATCTTCTATATTCAAGGCCATTTAATCTGGTGATAGGAAATCATATTCAATTTATAGAACTTCATGTCTTTGTACAAAATAATATAAAATACTGTATACTAAATAAACTATGAAATCATTCACCAACAAGTTTTGTAGCTCATCTTACAACCAATATGATTATAGTAAGATCAAACCAACTCATAAATACAACCCTCTACAATTACAACCTATCAAGATTGATGACAAACCATCACCTAAACTTAACTCAAAGAGACCAAAATTACATGAACTTGTTAAGGAACTCTGAGTCTTGGACATGAAACTGCCATATTCTCTTGAAGGTCTCCATGTATCCAAGACTTATTGTGATCAAAGATGTGGTCTCAATGGTCACTACTCAAATTAACAATAGGCCATGTGTAAACATATATAGGCCAAGGTGGGACTAGAAACTATATTAAAATAATTTATAATAGAATTGAATATAGTGTCATGACTTATAATGTATTGAAATTAGTCAAAAGATTGACAAATAAAGAATTGCATACAACTTTTGTTGGGTGGAATGAAGGAAAATTTACTTATGTTATTTTTTTCATCAATGATGATAAGATTAAAGGATTTTTTTGTCAACAAAATCTTTAATAAGACAAGCATGAAAGTAACTAAGAAGTGCACCATATAGCAAGTTGTGGAACTTTCTATTGTAGCTTCTACCATTACTACTTTACTTGATTCTTATTTTTTTTTAGGATTAAAAGAGGAGTATCTAGAAGCAGCATATATATTCAAAGAAGTCAAAATTGATGATATTTTGGTTGTGACAAACCTTCACAAGAAAGTTCTTATTGATGATGTTAGAAAGACTCTCTATGCAACCAAAATTCGTAGCTATGTACAAGGCATGAACCTCATTTGTGCCAAGAGCATTAAGCAAGGTTGGAACCTTAACCTTGATTAGCTCGCTTATATCTAAAAATAAAGTGTCAGTAAGACTTATTGTGGGACCATGAGTCACAACAAGACTAGGAATAAAATTTAAATATATTTTTGGGAATCTCTATCCCTCAAAACCATGCTTGTTGACTGGTCTACAAGACCATCTCAAGGAATTGTGTGCCTCCTAATTCTACAATTATTGTAGATATTAGTCTGCACACAACATCAACTATCCAATTTGAGGCCTTTTTTTTGTTTTGGATGTGCATATAGTAATTTGAGGTATGTTTATAGCAACTTGAGACAAGTTTGTAGCCTAAACCTATATATATATATATATATATATATGAAGTAGAAAAGCTTGCTTGTCATATAATAAAATGCTCTAATAGAGGTTCTAAAAAGAGACACTTTCTTAATCCCCTTAACAGTCTATTTCTACAATGTATAAACATTTAAAATATTTTTTATAATTATTTTTAAAGATTTTAGGGGCTTTAATACTTCATGTTTGCATGCATTTTTTTAATAGAACTAATATTATTAAATAGTATTAATATTAATACTTAAATAAGTATTAATAGAACTTCATGTTTGCATGCATTTTTTTAAATCTTGATAAAAAAAAACTTTGTTTTATATCTGTTGTGATACATGTGTGATTTTGTATCTATTCTTTTAAAGATTTTCTTAACAACAATTTCAAAACACATTTCAAATAACAATTATGTATTAAAAAAATTATGGTAAAAAAATGTCTTCACATGGATTTGTCTCATTGAATTGGATCTATTGAAACCCTAATTCTAATGGATGCAATGGATTGTAAGAAATGTGGGTACAAACTTCACCGACACGACCGGTGGATGATGAAAAGCATGGAACATTGTCTGAATGAATGCAGCTGAATTTCTTGTCACAGATTCACTCAAAGGCGGAGAATGTCTAATCATCTCACTGCCTTATTCCATCGCCGTAATCTAATCAGGTGCAGCCCACGCACATCTCGCTTGTGATGCTGTACACAGTAAGGGAGGTACTGGAGATTGATGAGCAAATCCTCAACAATCTTCGACGCTGTGCACAACCAGTCATTGTGTTTGGTGTGACTTTCGATCATTGTACATTGAAATGGGTTGCACGCATGTGCAGCAACCGTGTTTCGTTACCTGGTTCTTGTCACCAGCTCAAAGTAGAAAAATCTGTGTCCAGACTTGGAAGCAGACTCGATTTACCCAAAATTACTGGGGAGTCTTTCTAGCGCTGTGCTTCATTTTTCATGATTTGTAAGGGTATGCCATGGCCAGAAGCCTTTGCAACACCGTTTTTAAAGGATTGTGGTTTTTTTATTTATTTTTTTATCGCAGCAGAAATGGCTCTCGAATGCTAACTAATACTCACGATGGTAATTTATGTTCAGGGGGATGTTCATAAGTGGAGATTAGTGAACGTTGCGTTCGTCGCTTCAAAGGTTCTTTTCCGCTTACCCCCTGCTAGCTCCAGATCGGATTTGTCACTCTCGAAATATGGGTCAAACCACATGCAACAGCTGCCGAATTATGCTGTAGAAATGCACAAGCTAATCTATAATCGCGGCTGCTGGCAGAGTCCCCACAGAATTTGCCTGCGGACGATTTGTGGACACGCTCGTGATGCCTTCCTCGCAGTACAGTTCACGCAATTCATTGTAACCTGTTACATCAATCACAAGTGCTAACACCGTACAGGTTCCTCTGGTCCAAGCATCTCCAAAGGTTGTCCGATTTCCGCACTATATTCTATTTTGCTGGGAATATCCATGCATGGGAATTCCCCACGAAGGAGCGCGGGTACGAGTTACTGTACAAGAAACCTATTCCGACGGAACTGGAGAAAGTCAGTATTAGCAGCAAGTACGTTTGGAAATTTTGCTCGTGTGAGTTACCATACGTTCTGAGCTCAGATAATAATCCTCCACGCAATCGGTGTTGCCTGAGGTGTTGATAGAGATGAGGGGTCGATTGGCTTCCTTTGAAAGTCACTGTCACATCGCCACGCGCCACTGGTTGTCCTGAGTCTGTCTGCTCCAAGCTAGCCGGCCGGGTTCATCTTTTCGGGGAGAACGCATTGAGCAGCTGCAGCAGCTCTTAAGTGCTTCTCAGTTAGGTTGGAATGTAGGGTAGGAGGAATTGTCAACTCGTTTTGATAAGCAGCGACAATGACGAGGTGCACTATGGCCAACCCCAGCAGCGAGAGAGGCCTCACCCACATTGTTATTTGTACTCTCTTGCTTTCCGCAGCTTTCCTATCAAGAGTATCTTATGGTAAGACTGCCGATTTCGGTGTCTGGATCACCTTCCCACCCTATCCCAGATTTCGCAGAGTTTGCAATCTTCAGCTGAGGTCGGCAACAGTACTGAGCTAGCTTGTCTAAATTCTCTAGATAGCATGTGGTGAGAGGCCGTAGAAGGTGATTGCTGTGGGATTGTAGTCATCTTCGTGTAATCGATGTTCCGGTCTCCAAGTTTACATGCGCCATGTTAATTTTACAGCATGATTCTATTCGAATTTAAACATGCTGAAATCAGCTGGCTGTCGATCTGTTCTCTCCCCTTTTTTAAGAAAGGGTTGGTGCGCTTTTAATTTGAATCATGCAGGAGTACGAGGGGGATTTGTTGATGTCCCTAGGTTTCTTAACAGAGACAGTTGGCATTCTGTGTAGGCCAAGAAACTGGACTAAAGTCATCAAAATTTCCACCTCCAAATGCAATCTTTGCATTCGGTGACTCGTATTTAGACACAGGAAATCACAACCACTCAGCTGGTGTCAATCGTCCCTGGCTCGCACCATACGGGAGGACCTATCCCGGTACCCCTACCGGTCGATTCTCAGATGGGCGCGTGTTCACAGACGTCTTTGGTATGTGTCTCTGCTTTGAACTGTACGAATTCGACAGAATGTTTCGTATCGTAGTTGCCAACTCTGAAAACTGATATCCCGGTAATTGTTGCAGCGAGCGCGTTGCAAATGCTGTCACCCATCGCATACGAACGACGGCTTTCTGATCCAAATGCACCCAAGCATGGCATGAATTTTGCGGTGGGCGGTGCAGGCGTGTTCAGTTCTTATGGAATCCTCAATCTAGGTGGCCAAGTGGACCAATTTCAGTCTCTGTTGAACACAATATACCCGACAGCGTTTCTTGAAAACTCGGTGGTTCTTGTTGGTATTCACGGAAACGACTATGGTGCATATCTTGTGAAGGGAAACCCGATCTCTGTAAGCTCCTTTTGATAAACCTAACCGTATTATTTTATTCACTTGCGTCTCGTTAATTAAGCTCCTAGTTCAAAACCTAATTCGTGTTGGAGAAATTGGAGAAAGAATTTTGACATGTGTTGTTTGCAGGGACTTCCCATGTTTCAAAAACTAGTGGTCGATGAAATGGTCCGTCAGATTGAGCGTTTGAACAAACTTGGCTTCAAAACTTTCTACATCAACAACATGCAGCCTGTAGGATGCCTACCTTCATCAACACGGCCCACCTTCAACGAATGCAATGAGGTCACTGATAGTATCATGTCGGTTCCACACAACAGCCTCTTGGAAACAGCCGTCGCAGATCTGAAACAGCGGTTACCTGCATCCACCTTCTCACTTTTAGACCATTACAGTGCCTTCAACACTGTTCTCCGAACTCCGGCAAACTCCGGTACAAGTCCAAGCTCAATCTCCTAGTCCCCTCTTCCTTGATTCGTTCCCTGTTTGCCTCAGCTATCTTCTGCAAAGAACTATAGCAGTCAATTGACTGACAGGAACTTCTATCTCTGTAGGATTATCCGCACATCCTCTGGTGCCTTGTTGCTTGGGTGAGGGGAATGCCACTCGGAGCTGTGGTGAAGTTGCGCCTAATGGAAAAGCAATGTTTACAGTTTGTGATGATCCGAAGAAGTCATTTTTTTGGGACACGATTCACCCTTCCCAATCAGGCTGGACTGCTGTTACGAAGCTTCTGTTTCCCGATGCAGATCTGGAACCATTCCAGTCGTCCAAGGAGAGACAGAGTTGAGTTTAGGGTAAATGCATTCACAAAAAATGGGATTGCTGTTGATATGACAAAGATGATGACAAGGAGATTGTGTACCTATGAATAGTGCGACACAGTTCTGATCGTCTCTCTTGCTGGGTCTGCAGTTGAAAACTTTAAGCATTAACCAGCAATTGCTGCTTGTGCGCAGTCGAGTTCGTTGTGCAGTTTAGGCTTACAGAAAAGAAGTCAAGGAATTATATCGTAGACTGAGTTCCATGTAAATTGTGTAGTACTTGATGTCTTATTTACTGGGAAATATCATAAAACTATTCAAGCTTGCAAGAGTATTTCGAGTAATTGTCTATTACTGCATTAGGTCTGGTATTTCTAGATAATTCGTCCACTGATTGTTGTAGACGGATTTGTTGCGAAGGATATATCGAACTGCCTTGCTGCATTTACTTCGCCCACCAAGGCCTTACAATCATCCGTTGCAGCTCTCATTCTTATGCAGTGCAATATGCATGTTCAGCCTATAATTTTCCTACAATTTCTCGTCGAGAGCATTGAGCTTCTCCGAGGCTAATCGGAGGATATCCTCCTTCGAATGACCAGTTAGATATCCATTACTAGCTTGAACTCCTTCTTTGGCTGCAAGCGCTGCAACCAAATGTTGCACTGCCTGTGGATTTGAAACATCCGTATCCAGCAAATTACATGCAATTTCAATGCAATCGGTGCCATGCAGTAAGGCCATGGCTTGCACTTTGGCCAAACCACCTCCTCGTTCACTCACTTTTCTTGCTATGCGTTTTCCCTTGTCTAAGTCTATCGTTGTCAGCGGAACATTGTAATTCATTACCCAGGGACAAGCTCCAACAACTACGATACCGCTACTAGGCGGTGCAACTCTTGGTCCAAAATCTGGTTGCATAGTAGCAGGGAAAATGTTTGAACCAATCCAAAGACCTCCGTTGCTGGGTTGGAAATAACCAAGAGCACGCCGAATGTCGTCCAATGGTCTTCCGTTCCGATGGGCAGCTCCATACAAGAAAGCAGGAACTGTTTCAGATCATAAATTTTAAGCATGTAAACGAGAGAAAAAAAAAAAGGCTTCGAAAACTACTGAGAGGCCAATATTTAGAAAGTCCCTAACGGAGGATTGCCAACCAATTTTGCTGTTTGACAATTGAGAGATACGAACTAATGAGTTATAAGCGGCCGCAATCTTGAAACAGCAAACGGATACCGCATTTTGTGAATGGTGCAAAATGAAGGATTACCAAACCTTTAAGTTCTTGACCAATTTCAGAAGCAATCCCTTCTGCGATTGCTGTTGTGTCAGTCATGGTCGCCGTACCGAGTGGATGCGTGCAAATGTGATCCACAACTCCCAGTCGGGGATGACTTCCTGAATGTTGCCTCAAATCGATGGTCCGCAATGCCGTCCGCACAACATCCGTGACTGCCGACTGCAGAGGTGTTCTTGCATTGCGCGACTCAGAACTACAGACCGAGCCTGCACAAGCATGCTCAGAGACAAAGAGCCCTTTCAATACTCTTTTCACGCTTAAGGTTGCTCAAATCTTACCCTCAGAGCGTCTCCTCTAAATTCGAAACATCTCAAAACGAGTTACCCACCGACGAGCGCGGAAGTAACAGATGTCGAAATCGCAACAAGAGAAAAGACCATCCAGCCTATACCTGCAAGAGTATAACCCACTCTATTGTATTCGTGGTCCTCAAAAACGTGCAGAAGAGGTGCCTCTGGATGCGCGCGGAAAGTAGACTCAATTTCTTGCAACGCAGCCGCATTTCGAGTGTCGGAAATGTAAATTTTGCAGCACGCGAGATGCAAGCGCCTCAGAGGTTGTGCAGCCATAGCCATTACCGGTGTTATTTGGGAGTCTAATTCAAGACGGTCAGTTTCGTCTACTCTGTTCAGGCGAAGACAATAGCCAACAATCGCTGCTTCTGTACAATCTTATCCATGACCCGCTGCACATGAGCACACGGATACCTGACAGAACCTGATAACAAAACTCGCATTTGAATTTCAGCAAAGACGAATCATAGGAACAGTCACGAACTTAATGCTGGGAGATGCTGAAATTGCGAGAAATGAGGAGGAACAGTAGCGAATTCCGAGCCAATCCCAGCAGCTTCATAGCCTGGACTTGCAGATAATCTTCGAAATTCTTCAAGTGCTTGAGTGCAGTATGTAGTTCATCCAATCTGGAATCCGCATACCAATGATGCAGATCGACTCTGTCGTTTTCAAAATCAATCATCGACGGCGGATTGCGCGACGCATCTGTCCAAGAAATATGGCGAAATGTGCTACATATTCGAGATTATCACGATTATCTTTTGGAACCACACATTCGTTGAGGCATTTCAAAACCATGGAAGGCAATGCTGCCGCTATATCAAAACATCCAATGTACCTGAGAAGATGTAATTGCCAATTAGAGCCAAATCTCAACTTAATCATTTTTATTATAATTCCAAAAACATACAACATGCAGAGGACAATGTTCAGAGTAACATGGAGTATTCACTAAGCAAAAATGCCCTCAACCACGCTGATAAAAAGATGGCTTTCAGTTGACTGATAAACACAATTCACTGTAAAGTGACATCACGCTGCTGTGATGATTTCCATGTAGTCTGCAGCTTCATGAATTTTGTGTACCTTATTATAATCAAGTCCTCGTGAGTGGTGCTTAAACATAAAAGTTCTACTCTGAAAATAAGATTAAACCAGAAAGTAAAGCTGTCTGGATCTCACAAACAAGGAGGCAAGGATTGGGCCAAACTTGAAGAGCCCCCTGGATCCAACAGGGATGGACAGTAAATTTACTGGTAGTGTTGGTTCAGTTTACTTAGACTCTTCGACAAGAACTCAAAGCTGCGCCAGGTTTTCGGTGCTCGTCGATCAACCCGCGGGGACGGGTGCCCAGACAAAGGTATCGGATAGCCAATGGCATGCGGAAGACTCGTTGACAAGCAGATCGGGAATCAATGCCTTCCTCGGCTTCTGACTACCACCACCATAAGTGCGGCAAGATGCGATTTGGTTGAAGGGGCGTCCATCTTCGTGGGACACCATAGCCACAGCATAAATCTTCACATTCTCTTCACCGCCATTGTTCTTGCTGCTGTCTAAGTTGCGGCACTCGTACACTGCGAAAGGAAACACGTTCTTGTGACACACTACCGTGTGTTCATACTCCTTCACGTCAAGCACTTTGAGGGTGTTGGCTGCAGTCTTCGTGTTCACAGGCACAGCATCTGCAACCATGTTTCCTGGCACGCAAGATAATGCTGGTTCCGGCGGGCTCTGATGGCTACAGTTCCTCCCAGTGCAGGGAGTAATATCGCAATTGCTTGCCGCTGACTCCTGTGAGGCTGTGCACGCGTGTGCTCAAAACATCATCAACCTTTCTTCGGAATAAATGGCGTTGAGCTTTTCTGCTTTGCGTTGAAAAAATATCGAACCTCTTGCAATAAAGCGTGCACAGAAACGCTTAGTAAGGGGGCTTACCAGTGGATGCAGGGATGGTACGATCAAGAGCGTTGATACGAGAGTCTTGTGGAAAGTGATCACCTAAAAACTTGGTCAGTGTCTCCAATGAAGTCACACACATACCAGAGGACTCTTTGATCACTGCTGGCAAGTTAGTAGGATTGGATTTTACTTCGCAGTGAGCCACTGTGCGGGACATCATAAGAGCCAAATTAGAATTCGGTGGAATAGCAAGCATTTGCAACAACTCAGCAATTTTGTCACCAGACACTGGCATGATCTTGGCAAGAGACTCTGGTAGAAAGGATGTAGTAGGGTACTGATCCCGTAGATTGGCAGAAATTTTGATGTCCTTTCCGATTTCAAGATCCCTTAGATTGAAGAACATCTCCGTTGAGGCTTCGATCATGTCCTTCGCCTTTTGGAGAAGGTTTCCCCCCTCCAGCAGATCCTTAAAGGAAATGTCCATGCTAGGGTCCAAGATTTTCACATCGGCATCACACAATAGCTTGGCCTCCGAGCAGAATTCCTCGGCATGCTGGGCAATGGAACCATCCCCGATCTTCGAAGCATACAACGAAGCGGTTTTTGCATCGAGTGGAGACAAATGGTCCATTAGAATAGACGGTATCATGACACGTTCAGTTTGGCCGTTCACAGCCTCCTTTCCAGCCGCGTTTGCTTTCGATCCTATATTAGTTTCCTGACCAGTATTTCCTTCGACAACACATGCTACCGTCCCCTGCGAACAAACAAAACAATCAACCAGAGACAAAAACAATTCCTGTTTATTTTAAATGCTTCAGCCCGAGCAATTTTCCAAGTCACTAAAACCACCTGCATTCCCCAAGGCCTACCAGAAGCGCTGTCATTCAACTTACCACCAGGAAAAGCAGCACCAGTGTGGAAGCACTCAACGCCGCCATTGGAAGTATCAACGCCACGAAAGGTTCAATATCTGTTCCACCAGCCTGTTCAAACAGAGCCTGTCTCCAACAAGGTTACAGCTCCAAGGCTCCAACTCCCGAAGAAAATCAATGTGAAAGGCAATTTCAATGACAGAATTATCAATCAATCACAATCTTATTAGTTCGTCTCAAGAGTGCGAATGCTTACAAGAGATGTTCATAAAGATGAACTCCAACCCTGCAACTAAGTATTGTGATTGTAGATAACCATGGTCTTCGACTTTTATATGCTCGAGCAGACGTCCTTGGCAATGTTGTCGGCTGCATGTCACTCTGCACTTCGGGCTGTACTCAAAAGGCTCCAACCAAATTCGTTGACGCTACCAGTTGATGTACACAAAGGCAGGCTTAGGATTTCACTTCACAAAACGGGAATTGCTGAAGAGCCGTGATGGTTTCCCTGCGACTCAGCTGGTAGCGGTGACTGCCAATTCGGTCATCACGGTTTCGGTGCACATGAGCAGCGTACAAGTCATGAAGTTTACAATCAGATGCGGCTGGTAGAAGGTGTTGACTAGGTTGAATTCGGAGCATAGTCGGTCCACAAAATAATACGCGTCGTCAGCTTAGCATCACAGTTGGTGTTGCAGGGTCTGGAGTCGGCTCAGGTGCAAGAGCTGCCATTGACATTGCAACAGGCACAAGAATCCCGTCCATCACCATACCCCGGATTTTTTGTTTGATGGCTGCGACATGATGAGCTTGTGGCATCAAGGATTGGTCGACTACTAGTAGTAAATGCTTCAAAATTAGCAGAACAATGAGGAAAGAAAGAAAGAAAGAAGACAAGGAAGGAAAGCAACAACAAAGAAAAGAATATATATATATATATATATAGATATGTAATCCTTTTGTAAATGCATACCATGCACCTGTCACAAAAAGAATCAATGTTCCTTTTGAAGTGAGATTCCCAAAACACATTTGCACAAGTTAATTTGAAAAAAGAAAAAGAAAACTGTTCAAATCTATGTAAGCGTCCTTTCAATTATCTTTCAATCTTCTCTAATAATTCTCGCAACTGAACTCATAATTCTTGCAACTCAACTCAGTTTGTTAGTTATGCTTAAAATTATCAGATCCACATATTTCAAGAGTCTCGAAAACGCAGCTGTGTGGAGACCTAATATTACCCTAATTTGACATACCTGGAACATCCACTGCTAGTCATACAAGGTTTATTCTCTAACTTAGGTAACTTGAAAGCCCACACTCAATTAGAGTAATGTCAGCCTTCAATATCACATTGTTCAGATGTTATCTATGTTTCAATTTCTTGGTGTGTAACATTGTAATTCATTGAAAGCAAATTTTACAGGGAGATCTAGACATTCAAGCTTGGCAATTTTGCTGTGGGGAGGGTTGCACATCCTAAAGGTCGCGAATAGTGTTTCATAGGTTTTGTCCCTTGACTGTAATGTAGCTTGAATTTGCCTTACTAAAATAAGTTTAAATCAAAGCTTGAGAGTTCGATGAAGATCTTCAAAGTCAAGTAGCTAGTGCGTTGTGTGGAGATTCTTCGTGGCAAGGGAAATGGCAACTGTTGGATTTGGACTGTCTGCTTTGGCCCTTGACAGTTTGCTTCTCCAACTTAAAGAGCTTCGAGTTCGACCTCGGCCGTTCAATTGTGTAACTGTTGCGCAGATCAACTTTAAATGCCGCCATAGCTTTTTGCAGAAGCTCAATGAGAGAATGCCAATTGCCAGTAACATGTTATGACACGAGTGTCATATTTTTGTCATCCATCACTTTCAGTCAACATTGGCGGAGGTTTGTTTACATCTTGAAACAAAATGATGCAGCATATATTCGTTATTATCTTTCTTGCAAAATAGAAATTCAGAGTACAATCTGCAATAGGGACACCAAATTTAGGTTCATTACGAGACTGATCCACGAAACATTCTCCAAGTGTCATCTCTAGATGCTAGTAATAGCCAAGTCTCATATATCTGTGATCAACATTATCACAGCCACGGACAAACGTGCCACTTTCCAGTACATGACGATAAAACATTCCATACACCAACACTAGCGCAGTATTCCCATATCACTGCATGTTTCCTGAAGCTCCTGAGCAGAAGTTAAAATTGAAATTTACCACTCAAATTACTCCTCTTTCCACCGTCGCGGATCCAGTGTAACACATTAAAGTCGAGTTCCGACCGTGACTACATCATTTGCCTCGAAAACTGTAGACAGCGCGAAGAAATTCACGAAGTCCATTGTGGTTTGTCACAGCAACATGCACAACCTGCAATTCAATATGAGCAATACAGTTGTTCAACTAAAGAGAAAAATTGCCATGAGAAGGCCAGCACGCACACGATCAACTTGCACAATACGAGTACATAGAAGGTTGTGATTTTATATAGTTCCATTGCGTGTTGAACGCAAGCTAGACTTTACAAATGTAAGGAAAGGATTGCAGCATACTCCACTACGGGAACAAAATTCTCTATCATATTCACATTCCAATAGCGATGGAATTCTCCTCTATTCGACAAATGAAAAACACCATAACCAGCTCGCAGCAGGATTCGTCAGTTATTATGGTCCCCAGAAGCATCTATGTCGTTCTTCAGGAAAACTGTAGTGTACAAAAGATCAAAAATTCAAAAAGACAAGCAGTACTCATAGAACTGAGCTTGGCAGCCGTCAAAACCGGTCCACTCTCTACGCCTAATGACCACCACGACTATTCTTCATCAAGATGGAGGCGGTCAAGACCGAAGCAAACACCACCCAGCCGAAGTAGATCTTCATCAGATTAGCGGCAATGTGGTTGACAGGCTGGAAGGCACCGATGGTGGTAAACACAGCAGCGCCGAGTGCTAAGATGTCAACAAACGCAAGAGTGACGCTGTGGAACTTGAAAAAAAGCACCGACCACAAGAGGTTTAAGCCAAGTTGCACAAAGTAAGCACCGAGAGCGAAACCGTTCCTCTGAAAACCTCCGTCAGCCCACACTAACCACGATGCTAAGCCCATGACAGGGTAAATAAATGTCCAGATCAAGCCGAAGAGTGGGCCTGGGGGTGTCCATGATGGCTTGTTCAAGTTCTTGTACCACTGGTCAGGTGAAGCGAACATGGAAACAAGAAATCCAGCCGCGAGCGGCAGCGCACATGCCACGATCAGAGACGGCACTCCAGGCTTCTTCGCCACCTCTGTAGTTTTCCGGTATGCTTTAGCCACATACTTCTGTTGTGTAGGATCATTATCATGCACGAACTCGGATGTGTCCCTGCTCCTCTTCTGAAGACCCTCGGAATTCATTGTCTACTTCTGAAGCCACGAAAACTGCGAAATATCAGAGCAAAAAACACACTACCCCTCACACAATTCGTGACACAGATCGCACTAACACACTCAGTGATGGCGAAAACGCAAATTAGGTTCTGGAATTGAGAAGGAGAGAGCAGATATATGAATCGACCTCCAGCCAAATGGCAGCTGTCACAGCTTCTTCGAAGCTCCTCTGGCGTCCTTGTAGTGTTACGCGTGGAAAAATTATTTCATGATAGAGGATACGTGTTTGCAAGGGAGACGAGTACCTATTTATAGAAGTGCGATGACTCGGCTTCCATCTGTTTCTAATGGGTTTTACAATACAGCGCAGTTTATGTGGAAGCGGAAACGAACAGCCACGTAATTTCTTCATGGAAGAAGAACCGAGGCTTGACTAAGTCTTTTACCTTTCACTTCTCGCCATTTTGGTTGAATGAGCATTCAAAATGGGAGCATCCTCAGGATAATTCCAGCAAGAGAACAATCCTACACTCAGAAATGACATGAGCAATGGACTACCGTTTTTAAATTAATATGTGATAATTCCTATAACAATTAGAATGACAATCCTTCAAAGATATAACTCAATGGTATAATACGATTCGACATACATGCTGCAAAATCCGCCAAAACTATGTGTACTGGTGTTGGTATACAGAAGGAAATACAGATTATAAATTCGACGTTGTTTAATTCCGCATGAATGCTGGCATAATAGTGAACCTCTTCAAAGGGGAACACAACTGCGAACACCAAGCTCGGTTTAAGAATAGAAAGCACCTTCATATTCTTCCGTGGAATTGAAATCTGCTAGAGCAAGCTTGTTGATAATAGTGCAGAACATCGAGATCTGGTGTTGTACACCTCTAAATTCAGCACAATGGCTAGCCTCTCAGGATTGCGCACCACGATTGTAAAATTGAACTTCAAGGATTAAAAACTACAAATGCATGCAACATTATCACCAAACAGTAATCCTCTCCAAACGGATGCCAAAGTGGCTTAGATAAATTATCAAATTGCGGAAACATCGCGCGCTCAGGCTCCTTTACAACGCCCGACACCAAGAAAATTTGCACAACTGTCCCAAACGTTCTCAAGTTTTTCTCACCTTCGTTTGTTTGTTTGTTTGTTTGTTTTTTTTTTTTTTTTTTTTTTTTTTTTTAATGTCCGAAGCGGCCTGCGCACCCCGGCTCTTTGCCAAAGCTATCCTTTCAGCTGCAGTCAATCTCCAGCTCATTCATACAGAAATACGCGAAAACATCATTTATTGAATATTATTCCGTATCCTATCTCTCAAGCACCGGAAGCTGAACATCAAGAGCAGTGTTCCTCGGAGCACCAAAGCGCTTGCGGAGAAACTCTGATTCGATTGTGAGTCCGATTTGTGTAGGAAGGGCCTTGCTATACAGTCATAGTCGGTCGAAATCCAACTTCAAGAGCTCTCAACATTCCAGCTCGACGATCACGCTTCGAGGGGAGGTCATTCTCTACTACGGATCGCGAAGTATTGCGAAACTTTCCATGGTTGGCTTCTCCATTCCGTGAAGAAGAAGCGCAACTGCAACTCATCGGAGGAGGCAGACATGAGGAAGAAGAGCTCCTCATTCTCATTCATCTGAAAGAGGATGAAACACGTTCAAGGATGATACCTACTAACCTTCTTGCTATTACGTACCTTCCGGGTGACGTATTCGGTCCTCTGTTGCTGTTGTTTCGGCTTCTGTCCATCGTTTCTTGCAACGAGTCGTTGCAAGAGATGATCGGGAAATGCGCGCCTTAGTTGCTTCGTTCGGCACACTAGGAGTTCTTAACTTAGCTGTCCTATCTTGAAACTTGTTAGGTGAACAACAGGGAAGTGAGAGGAACAGAAGTGATGGCAACAGGTGATGTTAGAGGAAATTTTGAGCGTCTTAAAGTGCAGCTCCGCTCTATCTCATATCCGCATGCTCTTGATATTCAAGGGTGACTTCTCAATCTCTAATTCAGACGAATGCCAATGAAATTTATTAAGAAATGCGGTGAATAAATGTGTGTGTGTGCGCGCTTGTTCAGATGTCGTATTTTGTCTGCTTAGTGTATACACTGCTCATGACTTTCCTGTATTCTGTCAGAGAAGACAGTTTTTGCATATTTGTAGCGATTAGGATGATGTCGATGATACCTGCCGTGTTTGCATCTCTGTAAATGCAAGACAGTATCCCATTCTGCTTTTTCATACAGCTTCCTTGAAACAGGTTGAGGGGGTTGCTTTCCATCTGATTCATCACTTTAGACGTTGTCAATAGCGAACCGATTAATAACAGCATTTCGTTAATGGTTGGAGCAGGTGTAATGAAGGCCTGCCCGCTGCCATTTTACCTTTGATTCATTATGCATTACTTGGCTACTCACGCCATGTTGCCCGTTATCTCTCTGTCAATGGATACGTGCTGTATGCGAAAAGTGATCTGGTGCGTCTTTTATTCTGTATCTTTGTGTCTAATCACTGCATACAATTTCAGTTAATTTAGTGAAATGGAGTCTTTTAAACGGGATGTCAACGTACTAAGACGAAAAAAATTATCTGCACCGAGTTCCATCAGACAAGATTTCCATTGTAGTCCTGAGTTACTGACACACTCAGTGAAGAGATGGCTCCGCTTTAATTGTCACTCAAGCATTTGATACATTTTACTGGTTACGCTAAGAAATTATTTTCAAAGCATTGAACAGCTCTTGTGATAATTACACTCTGCTATGAAAATCTGAAATGCCGCGTGCTTCCATTTGTTTCTATGACAACTCTCTTTTTAACATCACAACTTGACTGAGAAGCTCCCTTGGGTTCTTGTTCATGACCTGCCAGCGATTCGTAGAATGCGTGATGAAGCTGCTGCGCAAGGAGTTCGAATACCGCTGTCCTCTAACAATAGCGCAGGTGCTGCATCTTTCAACCTTCGGATGATTTCATAAAATTTCAATCTGTTGAGAAATTTCGTTTGATGCCCCAGCAGAGGTCAAGTTTCAATGTAGAAGCAATCTATTCAGTATGCTCTCGGTACGTTTCAAAAACTCAACTGAGGGCTGTGTGATTGCAACCCCCAGATATTTGGGAGAGGGTTCGCAGAGAAGAAATTTCTCTTCGTACATGATCTGATTCAGGTGAGAGCTGTCTCTATACCCCTTGTCCATTATGAAGCTCACCCAATCTGTTTAGTCTGTTTTGGTTTATAACTCTTAACCGTCACCAACAAGCAGAACCAAAGTATGCGTTAACTTTGATACAAGGATGTCGTAGGACGTCTTAAATGATGAGTGTCTGAGCAGCAATTTTTCGACGTGAAAAGAGAATCTGTACTTGGTTAAGATACTGACGAACTCAAAGTCGTTTCACGTTTTAAATATGTCGGTATTGTCGACTTGCGACCTTCTATGGATGGGAATCAGAAGCTAGTTATCAAATCTGTCGTAGATATGATCGCTTGCTACAAACGAATGCCTGTAGTGCGGTAGTAGTTTGGGAACAAATGCCAGGAAGTATTATACTTTACGAATGCCATTGAAGTTACTGTAATTAATTCTCTTAGGATTCAACATCTACCTCGAGCGGTCAGAGCATAAATGGAAGACGAATAGAATGACCGAACTGGAACTGAACGTTTCACCAGTGTGTTGAAAATCTCAGGATCGTTTTCTGAATATCTTTGACCTATTACGTGACCAGATGTGCAAAAGAAAACACAACGATCTGCTGAGGGTTGTTCGGAATTCTGAGAAGGTGAGTAACATCGTTCATCTAAAACCAAAATATATTTAAATTAGGATCTAAATTTCGTCGATAAAATGAGTTCTGTCAATATTTAGCAATGTTTTTCTACATCACTCTGTAGACGCGTTCACTCTTCACTCTTCCTTCAGATGCGTTCCAATAAAACCTGTACAACTAAGTCGCTGTTGTTTACTTGGTCATGTTAAGTGGTTAAAGGAATTTCTACATCACTTATCAGAGGATGTAATGAACTAACTACTGTTGGCGAAATATAACTTTGACAGCATGCTTGATTCATTTCTTATAGTACCAGCCGTTTATTGTGCATCAACAAACTTAAGTTATGATTTGAGCTAGAATTCCATGTCCTATGTGTTACTATGACCTGCAGTCCTGTTCCTCTTTCACTTCACAGCAGCAAGCTACCTCACTGTTAGCTTAACAGTATGCACTGGGTTCAGCAGAAAACCCCAGTGTGTCGGCCGAAAGCATTTGGAACTTTGCTTCATCAATCACAGCGAAGACCAATTCTTCGAAATAAGCATTTATCCTCGAAGTTCGACAGAAGATGCGAGGTCAGAATACGACTCCATCGTGCTTAAAGCCATTCTTAACATGGCATCAAATGTCAATAGGAACATAGCCCTAGTCCTCTTTTTTATAACACTGGTATCTACTTTTACCTCACCGTTCATAGCCTTGCTATCATTAACCACTGCGCAATCCTTGATTTGCATCAAAATCCTGACCGTCGATCTTTCCTGCACACGTGTTGCAGCTCGACTTACTTCCAGATATTAAATGCCGCGAAGTCCGTCAACGAAGTAGTTGCCAAGACAATACTTGGTTTGTACCTCCAGAAGGCAGAACCCGCTTGAGTGGTGTAAGTAATCTGATCCTAATCGCTGCTTTAATGGTTGTTTATTCAGAAAGTCCACCTGGATAGCGTAGGCAACCTTTCTGAATGTTTATCGCCTACAATTTGGGTGCAGCAATGAAAAGATTGTTTAAGATGTGCAACAGGGATGGTTTATTACATTGAAGTTCGGATGTTATTCATTACCGTTACTCCCAAAAAATCCACCTGTCTCTATTATGTAACAAGTATCCATTTTTTTTTTAAATGATGATCATCATTTTCTAGGTGTAGATTATTAAAATGAGCTTTGTTGATAACTACTCAAACTCACTCGAAATGATAGGTAGCTGAAGAAGATGAAGACGATATTCGTGCTCAAAGTCTCCAAAGAGCGAAGCAACGTGGGCTGAGAGTGCTGACCCGCGTTAAAGATCACAACATCGATGCAACATGTCATATACCACATATGCATATTGGCACTGGAAGCAGCGCCATCATGGGTGCTCAGATGATCCATGTACACTCGCAGTACACTTTCAAGTCAGAATTATACATTTACTTGGAGAGAGGTCCCCATGCTGACTATATGGAGAACCAAGTGTTGATTCAGTGGTTGAGGATGAGAAATTTGATGGGAAAGTGATTTGCAATGTATAAACGTGTTGTGTTGACAGAGAGATCGCGGCTGTGGCTCGATGTCTTCTGATCCAGCCTTTCAAGGAAGAGACCGTGAACATGAGGAGACTTCGCCGAGATCAAGCTCTGACTTTACCCGTCCAAAGCATGGCAACACTTCAATGGTAAGCAACTAGTCGCTGAATTGTCACCAAATTTAGCACAAGAGTCCTTTCTTTTCCGATGCGAGGCTAAACATCTTCTCTGCTTAAAAGAAAGATAACTAATCACTACCGAGATCCTAAAACATAAGACTGTCATTTGGTCTTGAATCATAGGATGACTGCACAACTGTGTGCTCAACCGCATGGGCACCCCAGGATACCTCCGCTACTAATTAAAGCGATACCGCGGAGTCCGAAATTATGAATGACCACAATTTCAACTCTGCAACCCCACCTGCAAGTTGTACCTAACTTGCTGAAGATTTTACATAATTCAAAAGAGGAAGAACCTGACAGACAAAGCTCTTGCCTAGGTCAAGAACTTTGCATGCATAAAAATGCGTATATTTGCAAAGTTCTTGCCAAGGCAATTTATGCATAAATTTATAACTCCCAATGCTCAAGGATAAATAAGTTGACCGCGACAACTCGAGAAATGTGATCATTTATTAAAAGCAAAATTCTCGCTGAAGAAGCTCAGACATCAGTCTATGTCTCCCATTACTGATTTCATATTAGTGCGGATATTGCTGAAGAAGAACTTCTGATCTCTGCTAGGCATTGTCTGCAGACCTCGAACTCTAGTATTTAATTACTTGCTTTCTGCGTGCAGAGTTTTGGTGACTACCCTGTGCCTCTTGAAGAACCAGTAACCAACAAGAAATTTGAAAGTCAATCCCAAACACCGACCACACCAGAGAACAACTGTCCACTTGACCACCTTCATAAAAATCATTTGGCTTCCTCAAAGGCTTGTGGACGTTTCGACATCCCCACACTCATTACAGCAGATGATCCTCCTCAAGCGATGTGGCAAAAAATTGTAAGTGAATTTCATTTCGAATTTCCCATAATTTCAAGATATAAGTTCTAAGTCCACTAGAGTAGTAAGAATTCCACAGAATGCCCTCACGTTCTAATGTTTTGTAATTTGAGTTGCATTCCAGTCATGTGTGGTGTTTTCTTTACGATGCATTCCAAGTGAACAGAAATCTGATTTTTTGCGACAATTATTCATGGGAATTCTCGTGAAAATAGAACCATCCATTGTGTGGTAGCAAATACTGTTCATCATATCATCATCAATTCGAAGCATTTTGTATGCAGATAGATCTTGCCAGCAAGATAGATTCTTGCTTCTGCTCTTTAGACAACAAGATAGCCCAGTCTTTCAATTCTCTGGATGAAAAACTGGAGACAAAGTTCAAATATTTAGATGAAGGTGTTGCTTCCACAAGAGAAACGTTGCAGGTTCGTCTCTAGACTTCAAGATCGCCTTGCCAAGCATCACGTGTAAGTAACAGTGAGTTGAAATTCGATAAGCAACATCCTAATCACCACCGTATCCTAATATCCTACACCAGGAGAAGTTGATTGTGCTAGAGAATCGGATCGAGAATTTAGAAAGGACGTCTCAAATCAGTCCCATGTCCCTCCAGGTAATTTGTTAACTTCCCCCCAATTGTGTCTCTGAGATTACTTTGTTTGAAGACCCTGCAAAGTCTTCAGGGAATAGTTCGCAAATGATTTGTTCGTCGTTCGTATTATTGATTTATTTCCAGCACCAAACTTCCTTGACATTAAAAGTACTCCACTTTGCATTGCAGAGTAATGTCACTTACAATGACAGCCATCCTATACGTGATATTACTAACACATTCAATAGCAGCATTGACAATCGATCATGTGAGTCATAAAACTTTTGATGAACTTCAGATTTGCTGGAAAACCCAAGTGTATCTATCTGAAAGAATGCGAGGAGCAATTAACTTCACTAGATTAATGACTCATTGTTAAGTTCATAAATTTAGAGTTACCAATACTAGTAATTCAAGTCAATATGCCACAATTATGTATCATTTAGTACCATGTAAAAATTTTGACTAGTAATAACTATGTTTGATCATTGGTCCTTTTTCAATATGACAACAAGCCAGTGCATACCAGGACGTAATACATTTCAGTGAATTGTCCTGAGGATGCAATCAAAAAAATTATGATCTGTGTGATAACTTTGCAAGGATGATGAAAATTGGGTTGTCAGAGTGTTCTGAACTCCTGAAAGTCATCACTTGAATTGAGATTCATTGATCGCATTGTGCGCACAATTCAGGGAGGAACTATCCAGGACTGCCGCTAAGGGATCCTTTGATATATTATCCAAATCTGTTTCAACAGCAGGTTAAACCCTTCAAAGCCTACTTCCTTTTGCACCTTCACAAATTCAGTGTGCAACCACAAAAATGTATTCTAAATTGAAAAATTACTTTAATTGGCTACGCGTACCCTATCTTTCTCTAAATATACAATTATATTTGATTGTATTACATTATAACTAACAGCTTATCAATAGAACATCAGATGATTGAGCTTCACACATGTCCACGAAAATCATAATTTTATCATTGATCACATCAAGACTTGTGTCAAAAGAAACCGAGTTATTATAGAATTTTTAAAGTCTAAATAGAAAATAAAATAAAATATAATAAAAATGACATTTTATGCATTTTTCACCTTAAATATTCAAACTATTTTTAGATAAATTTCCAATAAATTCATTTGATATATTTAGAAATATGATAATTTATGAATTTCAATATGTTTCTTCTTTTGTTTTTAATTTTTTGTGATTTCTAATAGATATCAATAACAATTCGGTTTTTAAAATCATTACTTGTTACAATATTATTAGAAATCTTAAAATATTTATAGTCAAATACATAGAAAAAAAATTATTTTCTTAAATCTAATTTAAGTGTATCTGACCAATAAGAAGACCAAAAATTTATAGATTTGATTAAATCACATTTTCATAATTTAAATATTATTTCTATATGATTTACTTCAGTTCTTTTGTATTCTAAAAAAATTGGGTTACTATCATAATATTAAAATTATATCATTTCTGATATATTATAACTATTTATAGCAGGATACACAATCTATACAAAATATACCCATGCATGCAGGCCTATTAAGAACAAACACTCAAGACTTCATTGCTTGTGTAAAAGCTCGATTTCATCAAACAAAAGAGGTAAAAAAATTTGGATAAAAGAATTCATATACATTACCTTGTTAAGCTTTTCAAAGTCATGTTTCTTTTTTGACAAGTATGAACGTACATTTATTAATAAATAGAATGCAATTGTAACAGAATTCTGGTAGTGTGTGCATTAAGTATTTAAAGCTAAAGTTGTAACATGTTATCACATTAAGCAAATATTCATGGAAACCCCTTCTGCATTCAATTTCTTCCAACCTTCATTAATTATGAGTTAACAAATAAATCAAAACTTCAGTACTTTGGAATTGAATAACTTAATTGTACTGAAGTAAACTGTACTCCTTCTTTTATAACATTTAATAAGGACTTTAAAATGTACTAAGATGAAAAGGTTGAAATCAATTTTGTAAAATTTATCTTTGATTCATTACAGTCGTGTAATTTTAATTTTTTACACTGCAGATGTTGAACGTAAATGACACTCTATCCTTTTGAATAGAAAATACTGCAAGTGAGTATTGAATTACATATGTGTGTATATATATATATATATATATATATATATATGTATATTCAAAAATTACTAATTCTCACATTTGAAATATGATTCTCATAAAAATAATAATTTATCTGTTCAGTGGTTATAAAATGTTGAAATTTGTAACTTATTCTAAAAAATTACATCAAGAAAGTGGAATATGAATATTCAATATTTGATTAACATTTAAGTTTTTGATTTCATTTATACTTATTTCAATAACAATGGTTTCTTATGGATTTAATTGCAGGATTTCGGATTTGGTATTGAGTTTACTTTCTGGTAGAATCCAGAACAAACATGCGTAGCAGTAGCACAATTAGGGTGATAATCTTGTTGTCATGCACCTTTTTTTTAAACAATATTTTTATATATAGATTGAATGCAGATCTTTTTTTCAAAAGTTTGAAAAGAAGTCATGTAAAATCTTGCACAATTATAGTGTAAATTTCAACAATCAACTTTCAGTTGAAAAAGTGCTTTTCTTTTCCCCCCAGTTTGTATTATTTGAGGACATTTTTCAAAGCCGAAAATGGAGTAAAATAATGCATATTATTCAATAATTATTTGCATGCTATTCATATATGCTAAGAAAAGCTTTATTGATCTTTATTTAGTTCAAACCAAACACCTGAACTGCAATTTTTCTAAAATTCGATCCTTGAATTTGGTTGTAAATCCATAAATTCTCAATGATGATTGTTACTTTCAAATGCAACTGATGAATCAAACATCTTCTTCTACCATTTAATTATTTATACTTCATTGACACACCAAAACTGTGTGTGATACGTTAGAATTAGATTTGCATAAATGCTTATAAGTCCATCGGAACATTATTCAGGAACCTGATTTTAAAACCTTACTATTCATTACTCAAACCCTTGCTCTCTCATAACAAACATTTGTACCTCACAGTTTTATGTCAAATCAACAATTTTCATGTCAAATTAACTTGTCTTTGGGAAAGTTGGCAGTTATTGTCTTGACCAAAACAAGACACAAAAAAAATTCTAGAGTTATGCTAGATTGTGTATATCCATCTTTGGAAAATGAAAAACCCATGCTTCAAAATCGCTGAAAGCCAGAGGTCAACAAACTTAAACAAGTCATACAAATGAGAATCCCTACGAATTGGAGGTTGAATGGTGAGTCGGAGAATCCATGCTTCTACTTGACTCGGTTCCAAATCGGAGACTGACATGGAGCTGACGAACCTGCAAGTCTGTAAAGCAGAAAAAGAGGGTCCAACCTCGTACAGTCCTGAACACAAGAGTACGCAAGCTCGAATTGACAGAGGTCAATAGTTGAAGTTGCATCAAAGTCATTGAAGAGTTTTGTCCAGGAATTCGTAGGACATGACTGACTTCACACTGAGGCCGCAACCTAGTAGACTTACTACAGAAGTGTTTCTAACCATCAAGGATACCACAGGTAGAGAACTGCATGATGTCCTCGCCAGAGCCCTAACCAGATCTGAAACGAAATCAAATGAGTTGAAACTCCGGAAGAGATGCAAGATTGCTAAATTAAGAAAAGCAACGAGTCCGCAATCAAATTCATTCAGATTATCTAGAGTAAAATAAAAGACTAACACTTGTTATCATGTAAAACCATGTAATCATGTAATCATGTAATTGTGGTGTGACTCTGCAACACTGAGAGTCCGAGGAGCCCGGAAATAGATCCACAAGGTGAGTCCAAATTAACTAACTCCATGGCACAATTTTACTCTTTGAACTTGCTTTTCAGCGGATCCAATTATGATAACCTACTGATATACATATGAACTAAAAAATACCCGTAAGATGTTCGCACTTGGCATCCCAAAAGAAATTTACTACTCTCAGGATCACCCTGAAATTAGAAATCTCAAAATGAAGAGGACAATTCAAGAAGACTTGTCCGGTATAAGTTGGATGAGAGCAAAAACTACCAGTCTAAATTTAGTAGTCATGCTGCTATATACTCTTAATCCATGGTACACAGGACGCACTTTTTAAAAGTAAAACAAATATTGGGAATTTCGGCCCCCTCTCTATTATCCAAGCATGAGGGTATCATAGTACATTATCTGCACTAGACAAAAAGGATCACAACCACATCCGTCAAGTGATGGACAACACATGGAAGCATAGCACCCGAAGTAGGTTTGATTCCACAACAATTTGATCATCCGAAGTTTATGGTATACTCAGTGCAAAGGAGTCTAATCACGTTCCTTGAGGCACCGCAACCGCCACCAAACTATCCACCAGAAATATGCGCCTTACAAACGGGGCACACAGCTTGGCATTGCAACCATTGATCTATACACTGCTCCATCCACAAAAAAATTAGTAAGAAGAAATCGATTCTAAAACATACACTGGTATAAAGATCATTCAGCTACAGAAAACTGCCAGGAACAACTTTGAATCATAAAATGCTGATGCTTCAACGCGGTTCTCAGTCGTGGAGAAAGAGACCAATCGAAGACACCACAGTACAATAACGAACGGTCACATACCGGCTGATGAAAGACATGCATACATGGAAGACGTCGAACAATATCCCCTGACACGGGCACCTCTAAGCATATAGAACAGTCTTCAAACACATCAGTTGGCTGCACCAAACCACATCACAGAGTCACGACTATAAACCAAGTACAACCAGAATTGCATCGGACCCGTCAGCGCCTGTAAACGTGAACATGAATCCATCTCAATTTCAAGATTCTAGAACGATCAAAACTTATGAAAAAAAACAACTTAAAAAATGATAGCTTCTAGACCCTAAAAATTACGGGCATAAGCACTGACTGCAATGGTGGTGACTGGAAGTTGATTGATGGTCTCCATGGAAGCTCCTCGGTGACTAGAATTGTCTGTGTCTAAAGCCAACAACATTTCATAATCGTTCCTGCAATCGAACATCCAAGTATCCAAGGACGGTTCAGCGAAATGCAAACTGCACTAATGGGGCAAAAGACAATAGGGCACCCAATCATCAAGTAGCAGAAAGCTTCAAAATGCATCCAAGAAAAATAACTTTGTACCAAGGTAAGAGTCGATTATGCAAAACCCAAAATCGACAATTACAACATTGCATTGAAACCAGGTCCACACTTTGGACCCGGATAAAATAACATTAAAAATTTGTATACCCCAAAACGGCATCCAAATGAAGATGACAATATCATAAAAACAAGAGACTTACTCGTTGAAATCACGATCTAAATGCGCAAGCTGAAGACCAACAGGCAACTGTTCCTGAAAGGCCATCTCAAGAGCAGCCAAGAACTCCATCCTCTGCTTAGGAGGAAACAAACAAAAAGAACTCTATAAATGTTAAGTACGGAATTTTAAGATAACTACAAGCACTTGGGCATAACTCGTTTGAAAGCTTCAAATAAGGTGCTGAAACTCACTGACTCCAACCCCATGCTCGATGGAAATGGAATGCGTCTGTCAAGCATGTGATCTGGTGTTGGCGCGGAATGTGCATTCAGCATACGACCCAAGGCAGAGTTACGCCTCAATCCCCTGCGCCCCACCCTCGAACCCGATGCAACATTGTCTGCAACACCTGCAGATCCTTGAGCCAATTCGTTTCGAAAAAGCCTTCGTGCTTCCCGATGGTGCTCATTCGCCTAGAAAAACATAGCGACCACTTAAAACCTCACTTTTGTTCCCATTGTCCTGTTCTTCTGAAATCATGTCATAAAGCTCGGTAATGTTGATACCGACCAAAGACTTCTAGTTCATGCATATCATAAAAAAGATTCACAGACAGAAGACTAACCAGCAATCCAGGAGGCGCGAAAAAAACCGGCCTTTGTTCAAGCGGAAGCCACAGACCATGCGAATTCTCTTCATCTTGCAGCATCCTCGCAAACATTTCATCAGTCTAACCAACCACATGTCAACCACCAGAAATAACATGTCAGTCCTGAGAAACAAAGCTTGAGGATTTTTCAGGTCCGCTAGTACTAAGGCACTACTGCACCACTGCACCACTGCTGTTTCCATCACTGGACATAGTACACAGACAGAGACAAACGTCGCCTCAACCAACATGATCAAGCAGCAATGGAAAAATTAGATTACTAGGACAACGTCCAAAGTCTGGTTCTCCAACTCGCAACTTGCATGTGCAATCTTCCACGGTATCGTATTAACACCAGCACATCAAATTTTACTTTTACGACGGAGTTAAGAAGAGTACCGGTGGCTGCGAACCACCCATGTCCTCAAGGGCAAATGCTTCTTGCAACTCTCTCGCAACCCTCTCGTCTTCCGATAATTGTCGGGCGCGCTCCGCTTCTCCGTCATCATCCAAAACGATAGTGTTGCCTGGCCTCACGGAAACCAAAGTTGGAGAGTCGGGATCCTCCAGGTTCACAATGCCATTGGGTTGATTGACCACCCTCTCATTCTCTGTGTCCAAAGGTATAACAAATGGGCGGCGCAAATTATTTGAGTCCGAGGCTTCGAAAATTGAACCACCACCTGCTTGTGACCTATGCCGCCCTAATCTACGACGTAGCCCGTTGTTTACGGTGTGAGAAGGACCAACCAATCGAGTGCCAAGTGCAGAAGGTCCCAGAGTTAAACTTCGGCCCCTCCTTAAACCTGGAGATGGGACAACATTGATCTGTTCCCCCGAAGGAACGCTGTTCTCGTAAACATCTTCTACACGAAGAAAATTTCCGCCTTCACCAGAAGGTTCCTCCGAGTTGGTGACACCACTTCTATGCATGATTCTTCTTGCACGCTTTGCATCCCCGGATGCTGATCCCTGCATTAATCTTCTCACTGGTGACTCCCTGGATCTGTGTGAAGGTCCTACCACTTCATTACGTGCACTTTCGCCATTGCCGGGTCCACTGGAACGAGTATTTCCGAGGGGCGACAAGTCATCAGCAAGGTCAATAACATCATGAACCTGTGTATTTTCAGTAATTGGCCCATTTTCCTCGTCCGACGAGAAACCTATGACTGACTGGTCGTGGATCCTTCTATCTCTAGAACCACTAGCCTCGGATCCCCTTGATATATTGTCAAACAACACTCCAAATCCACCCCGCCCGCTCCTCTCACTAGACTCAACAACGGTGGAAGCAGTAAGAGAACGAGCATTTCTTTCCAACCTATTTCCTGCATGCCTTCTGTTCATCCGAGGATTCCGCCATCCGGACATCTCCGACACCTCCATACTCCCCTCAGAACCAACACTTCTTCCGTCATGTGTCATTCCACTGGTAGCATCACGTGCAACAGATGGCATAGTATCAATCCTTACTCGTCTACGCCAGGGTGAAACATCAGCTTCGGGATTTGCTAATCTGCACCACCGCGCATCACTAGTCTCACGATCATCCATTGTATCAGCGGCCTGATGTTGCAACTCTCCATTATCCTCCACTTCGACCTCATTACTGGTGTGCTCGAGTGAAGGTGTTGCTCTTTCAGACCAACCGGCAAGAGCATTGCATGGCTTTAGAACGCGCGAGCCCCGCCATCGAGTACTCCCTTCTCCAAGGACTTCCACCTCATTTCCCTTACTTCCCTCCTCACTAGGACCACTGCCCTCCATTTTCGGTTTACACCTGAATAAACCCCAAAAAAGAGTTTAGACGAAGGGCTTACTCTATCCTATATAGGATTCATCAAAAAGACTAACTATGACATTACATCAGCAGGACCAACAAAACCATGCACGGCAGTAATCCGCATCCACATTCTACATGGAGAATTAAACTCACAACTATATGTTATCCTTAGAAGAGCATGAAAAACATCAAACCGTGCACGAGTCTTACCAGAAGTTGAGACAGATTTCAGTCCTCTCACAGAGTCGGGTAGTGGTATAGATTCATAGCTATTGCTATTACCTGCAGAAAGCGCACCCCTGAGGATTAAGATATATAGTACACAAAGCGACGCAGGTGCCACTTTCAGTGGCATTTCAAAGGACTAATTCCGGAATCGGAACACAAGTCACTGCATGGGTCCAAGGAAAATCACTCTTCGATTTTTAATCCTGCAATGTATCAAGTAGTCAAGGGCAGCATGAGGTGATATGAACCAGTCTCACGTAAAACAATCCCACAAATACTCTCTTGCAAGGTGCCCTAAATTTGGTGAAGAATTGTTTTTGTAAAAAATCACAAAGAGCAAATTAGAACAGGTGCAACTTAAAGCATTATAAATTTTATTATAAACTGATAATAAAAGAATGAGACCACGTTCTCCGACCTTCTTCAATGCTAATACTCCTAATTTCAGCAAGAAGCGAAGTTTCAAAACCTGTACAGACTGTCGCAAAAAGAAGACACTTCGACAATAGCGTTTGATTAATACTTGTCATGATGCCATCCCGAGTTATTACATCAGCAACGAAGACGCCCAGGAAACTCTTTCCTTCAAACGAAAGACGATCATAACGAAACCCTAGAACTACATCCACCACTACAGAATCTCAAGTCACAACAACAACTGCTCCAAGTCAGAGCAAGGCAAGCGCTCAACTATCTACTCCACCTAACCACTACGAATAACATTCAACAAACGCAATCACAACAGAAACTTCTCGCTTACTAAACGCCTACATTCTCTCCTAGTGCAAATCTAAGCAGGAAAACCGTCCGCGACCCTAAACCGATCAATCCCAAAATCCTCAAAACAATCAAGCAACCAATTCCGAAATAACGACCCAAAACAAAAAAACTTGAATTTATTTTTCAAAAACTCCACAATACCAAAACTGATACCATTCGATTAACCACAAACACCAGCGGAACGTGAAGCGACCTCAACAACGTCGCTACGGACTTAACCCTATCCAATAATTTCCATATCCCAGAGCCCTCCACCAGGTCGTAATATCTCAGCATGCAGAAAAAAACTCTCACCTCCGTAATCTCGCAAGCCAAACTGGCCTCCTCTCTGTCGTCCTCGCCACCGTCAACGCACAGATGTAAGCTCGTCCTCCCCGTCCAACAAAAAAAAGAAAAAAAATCCCGACTAAGAAACCTCCCTCCCACCGCTAATCCTGGACAGTGACGGATGAGAAATGGGGGAGAAAAGAGTGCAACACAAGCAGCAGCAACGGAAGCATCCAGCAGTTGCGTCACCCCCCGTGCAGAAGAAGTGTGGTGAGCGAGAGAGAGAGTGATTCGAAGGCGTGCTCCTCCCTCCCTCCCTCCCCCTCCTCCTGACGATCGGCGAGTGAAGCAGCAGTAGCAGCAGCTAATTCTCGCTCTCGCGGCGCTGGTGTCGCATGGTCTCGTGGTACGAGGCGACACGGAAACCGATAGCGACACGGCAGTTCCCGTTGCCTGGTTTCGTCGTAGCATGTCCCAGCTCAGCCAATTTTGAATCTGGGTCTTGTCCTAGTTGGCAGCTCCATCGTGGCGTTCCCCTCAGTGCTCACGTACCGTTCCCCAAGGTGGGTGTCCAGGTGATCTCATTTGCTGTCATTTTATTCTGGGCAGCCTGAACTCTTTATACACTTTTTTTTATAGTATATTTATTTAATTATTTTCTTTGCATACTTCTAGAACTCTTCAATTTTTAACATTCAAGGAATATATATTAAATTATAAAAATAATAATAATAATAATAATAATAATAACAACAACAACAAGAATACTATGAAAATGAAATATGCTAATAAGATTTGTATAATAGGATATAAGAAAAAATGCTCAAGTTACAAACACACTCCAAGTTGCTACACACGCCCAAGAAAAATAGAGGCTTTTGATTAACTTATTTTTACTGTGTAGAGCTTGATACCTAAAACAATAGTGGAAGGGTCAAGGGAAGTGACAACTTTTTATTTGAGCACATAGTCACAATAGCATGGCCACAATTTACGTTGTTGTAATATGTGTTGTCTTGTTTGAGAATGCACTTGGTGCTTGGCTGAGGAAGGTAACTTGTATTTTGCAAAAAACAAAAAACCTAACAATTCTAATAAAAACATAAATAAATCTTAATTGAAGTTCAATAGTTTTAATCAAACATGAATCAAATCCTAAAGAATCTTCTAGAAATCTTAAAAGAATCATTAATTATATCATAAAGAACATCAAAGAAATCATAAAAAATAAAAATAAAATCTTTTTAAATTTTCTTTAAAAAATGTAATAAAATTATAAAAAAATCCAAGAGATCTCCAAAATTAAAACTTGAAATGTTTTTCATTAAATCTTAAGTAATTTCTAAGTAAATCTAATAACCTTAATTAAATCCTAAAGACATTCTAATCAAACTTTATAATAATTTTAAAACCTCAAAAATTATTATTTAAATCATTGATTTTATTTTTTAAATTTGCACACATTGCAATATAATGGTTAATAATAAGTATAAAGAAAAAACAAAAAAAATTTAAAAAAAATAACAAAAAACAAAAAACAAAAAATAAATGACTAATTCAAAAAAAAACTCTAAATGTGCTTAAGTGTCAGACATTATATTTTCCTAATCATAATATTAATCTACCAACAATTGTATCTTCTCATTTTACTATTAAATTGCTTTCAAACTTTACAAAAATATTTCAAACTAAGTAAACTATTAATTCTCAAATATTTGTCCTAATCAAATTGACAAATTGCACAAGACCAAAGAAATTGTCATTGACTCTTAAAATCCAAATTTTAAGACCTTAACCAAATTAGATTTTAATAATCTTTAATCTAAACATTTGATTGATCTAAAAATTACAAACACAACTAAGACAAGAAAATTTACAATCACACAAATTCTCACTCATCAATTTAGTACAATTCTTACATAATTTTTAAATATATAAATTCTTTTATATTTATCAAAATTCCAAATCATTATAAACTCCTTCAACTTTGAAAAGATCTAAGCAACTCAATGTTAATGTAAATCACCCATAATCAATACTCAAATAAACCTTAACAAGTCTATTCTCTAATCTTATTTTCTAATCAACAAAAGAACCTTAGAAACACCATAGGTACAAAGTTTTGTCCCTCTGTTTTAATTTTGACCTTGGTTTACAACTTGTCTTCTTCAAGTATCAATTTTTAGCTTTCTAAGGTAAATTTGCCTAGAAACTATTCTTAGCTTCCTCCTAAAAATGTCCATATTATGTATTTTTTAATCTACTTTGTTTTTCATTCTATTTATAGTTCTACAAATTAAGTAGAAGATTTTTTACAAAAAAAAGGTATTAACATTAAATTTATTTACTACCCTCTTCTTATTTATCTATATCTTTTAAAAATATAATTTATAATTTTTTCTTCCATCTTTTAGCATTATAACAACATAGCAACATTTTTCTAGATGTTTACAAGTAGTTCTTTTTGTGAGTAATATATATATTTTGAATTTAGAAAAAGAAAGATGAATATAAGAGAGAAAAAATAAGAGTGAGAGTAAGAAAAGAGAGAAAAAGAGAGCAACGAAGAAATAAAAGAAGGAAGTCTAGGGAGAAAAGAAAGTGGAAAAGATGTAGAGAGAGATAAACAATTTGTAAGTCTATGGTTCTGAAAAAGAACATTGAGCTTAGAAAATCATCTAGTTTATACAAAAATAAGAGATATTATGTTTATACAAAAATAACATTTTGAGATTAAAATAAATCAATAAAATAATATAATTTTAAACTAAAAATAACCTACCAAACTAAATTTAGATATTTATAAAACTTTAATTAAATATTTAATTTATATTTTTTAGATAAATTAAAATATAAATTAAAATTCAATAAATAGTTTGGAATCCTTATTTTAATTCACAATGAGATAAAAAATGAAGCATTAAAGAAAGTGAAAAAATAATACATACATATATATATATATATATATATATATATATCATTTTATTTTTTAAAATTATGAATAATTTACTATAATGCCAAATTTTCAAGATAATAAAATAATTCATAAATACAAAATTTGTAAATTTTTTATTTTATTTTATTCTTGCCTTATAAATAGTGTTAATTATATTGGCTTAAGCTACATGCACACCTCAAATTGCTACTTGCACACTTATTATGTCTATACACACAATCCAAACCTCTTATTGGAAAATTTTGACTTCACTAGGACCCGCGTTGGGATAAGGAAAAAAAAGAAGAAGGAATTGGGACCTATGTTAAGACAAAAAAGTGAGGGAGGAAGTTAGGGACTTGTATTAAGACAATAAAGAGGAAAAAAGAGAGAATTGAGACTTACGCTAGGACAAACAAGAGAGAGAAGAGGGCATTGGAACTTGCATAATGACAAAGAAGAAAAGAAGAGGTCTGAGACCTAACAATGATAAGGAAGAATGAATCTAAACCAATCAATTGGATGCCTTGAGTGTTTATATAGACATGATAGGTATATGTATGGCAATTTGGAATGTGCATTTAGCCTAAGCCAATTGTACTTCATTTATAATAGATCCTATTATAAAAGATATAGAAATTAAGATAAAAATAAACTAACTAACATAATCTAAAATTTCAATAATAACTAAATGTACATTTGTAGTATTGTTAATTTTTTTTGTAATAAACAAAGCTTTGATCAATAATTTAAAACACTGTGCATTATGTAAAATAACACTTTTTTATAACACAGTTTACAGACTAATTTATTACTTCCAAAAAATTAATATGTTTATATGATTTTAAAATAAAGTAAAATAAAATCTAAAATAAACTCAAAATAAAGATATAAGTGGTTTTCATAAAAAACTAATTAATATATTTTATTTAAAATGAATTCTTAAATTTAAAAATTAGCATTTTGTGAATCTTTAGACTGATTACAAATCATTTTAAAAAATATTTACAATATTACAGGATTATCTTCAAAAAAAATCAAATCTATATGTACATGTATACATACATATGTAAACCACAACTTTATAAAGATCAGCATAAAAAGATTATAAAACACGAAAACCTAAATTTTTAATAAAAAATTTTGTTAAGTTTATCGACATGATTTTTAATATGCTACAACATGTATAAAAACATTGAAATGATTTTTTTCTAAATTTAAATAAAATAAAGTAAATTATTTCTGAAGTATTGACTCAAAAATCTTCATATTTTCTAATGGTATACATTTTGTCAAGTCTAATATTTTATTGCAGAAATAATCAAGCCTGATTAGAAACAAACATCTTTTAATTTATGGTTTTCTTTTTTCTTTTTGAAGAGATGTGCGATTAAAATTACTAACTACATATACTCAACATTACAGCTAATTTTTCTTAGAATCATGAAACTTAAGTTGATCATGATTTGTTTTATACTTTTTTTTTTCTTTTTTTTTAAACTTTATTTGTTCAATTTTCTTAATAACAATGCTAATGGCATTAATAACATACATACATACATATAAATAAATAAAATAATAAATAATATATAATCATATACATATATATCATTCATGGCAAATTAACCATGTTGGTTTTTATTGAATTTTACATAGTTAATAAAATCAATTGAATAATATCAAATTCTTGTATATTTGAATTTTTTAAACATATATAGAAATAAATATTAAATTTGTAAATATGACTTATCAAATTTTTTTCTTTCATAGAGTAAAACATCATATTGTAAACTTTACAAGCTATTAATTATGCCATTAATTGTACAAAATTTCATAAAAAAAAATTTATATGTTTTTACTTTCTTACAATAAATAATATGATAAATTTAGTATGATTTAAATTATTTCTTAATAAACACTTTAAAACTATGTATTTTACTTATGTAAACTTTAGAAGTACATGTTTTTAAATAATCCAAA